CCGAGGCTGGTCTCAAACTCCTGGGCTCAGGATCCACCTGGCTTGACCTCCCAAAGTGCTGAAATTACAGGCATGCACCACCACACTCAGCCTATGTACATACAGTTTTAAAATTAAATTAATGCTATTGATTAACAGTAAATTATGGTTAAATAGCAATAATTCCATTGCCTTCCACAAGTCTGCATATTTTTAATAATATAATTATAACAACAAAACTTTATATGTAAAAGTATCTTATCGTCTGTTTTTTTCACTTAATACTTATATATACTACTATTTATGAATTGTTGTTTTATTAAGCTTTACACCTGATGTTAGAGATGTATGTGTTTATAATTTCTTGTTAGTATATATAATGCTCCTCTGAACATTTATTTATTTGCTTTTATTGCTATTTTCTTTTATTAAATAAATCATTTGGAAAAATTTCTGTGAAAGAAATTACACAGGAGGATTGCTTGAAACCAGAAGTTTCAGATCAGCCTAGTTAACATAGTAGACCCCATCTCTACAAAAATTAAAAATATTCGTTGAGTGTGGTGGCATATACCTGTAATTCCAACATCTTGAGAGGCAGAGACAGGAGGATCATTTGAGCCCAGGAGTTCAAGACTACAGTGAACTATGATTGTGCCACTGCACTCCAGCCTTGGTTATGGAATGAGACCCTGTCTCAAAAAACAAAACAAAAAAACAAAATGAAAACAAAAAAAATTACAGAGTTAGAACATTTGGCTATCTACTGCTTTTCTACCTATTCTCCTCTTGTTATTTCTTCTTTATAGAACAATAATTTTGTTTGGGTTTAGGGGGCAATTTGGCCAAAAACCATGAGTCAAGCCCGAGCATGAATTTGCCTTATAAGCCAAAACTGGAAATTCCCATCCCCTCTGTTAGGGATCAGTTTAAGAATAAAAACTGACTAAATAAGACAAAAAAAAAATGGCTGAAGACCAATGTCACAGGGTCTTGTAAGAATTTTGTTGTACGTATTTCCTCTCTTGCCTGTCTGCTTAACCTGCTCTACCTGTTTTTTTGTTGTTATATACCTGTATTTTAAAAATAAAATTGAGATTACATGAGCAGAATTGGCAATACCAGAAATCCTGTGACCCAGCTCTCTTTTTGTATTGACGTAGCAACACTGGGACCAGTCAGTATCAGCTTGCTGGCAAAAGACGCAGAAAATGGGGAATTAAAAGAATCAAATATTTACTTACTTCAAGCTAATATAGTCAATTACATCTTTTGGCTCACAATAGTAGTCCATTTTGCCAAAGAGTGGAAAATACTCAAACCTGATGGCTAAGTATCCTTTTTCCCAGAGCAAATCAATTTCAGATATGTCAATACTTTGTTCATTTGCTTGCAGTCAAGGTTAGTAACCTTGGAGCTGGGTTCCTACATGTCAATGTTATGTCCACTTTAACTCTTAGAGTCCCACCTTTTCTTCCCCCATACATCCAAGTTTTTGAGGGACATGTGGATGCCTGCTAGTATTGTCTGTCTACTACAAATGTGTGTTTATATCTTACACACACAGACACACACACACACACACAATTGTAGCCCTTCAGAGGACAGTGGTTTGGAATGATCAGGAAAGACTCAGATGGTCCTGAAAGACATGGAAGTCTCGAAGGTAGAAATGAATGCTAGGATTAAAAGTGTTCCAGGGGTAGAAAATAGAAAGAATAAAGGCCAAAAGTGAGGAAAGAATAAAGGGATGTTCTAGCATCCCTTTGATGTTTGTGGGAGACAAGGCTGGAAAGAATAGTTTGAGTTTGGAGAATATTGTAGAGGGCTTTGAATTTCTTTTTGGTGGACAATGGGAAGACATTGATGATTTTTTAGTTGGAGAGGATTTGATCACAGCTGGGATTGGATCTGCACCTGTGATGGGCAGATATCCATATACACTGCCTTAGTCTACTTGGCTTAAATAGCAGACATTTATTTCTGACAGTTCAGGAAGCTGAAGATTCTAAGATCAAAATGCCCACAGATTCAGTTTCTGGTGAAGGCTCTTTTCCTGGCTTCCAGACCTCTGTCTTCTTGCTGTGCCCCAAGTGACTGAAGGAGAGACTTATGGGTTCTTCTCCCTCTTCTTATAAGGATAATAATCCTATCATGAAAGCTCCACCCTCATGACTTTATCTAAACCTAATTACCTCCCAAAGGCCTCACCTCCTAATACCATTACATTAAGGGTTGGGCTTCCACATATAGTTGGAAGGGAGGCACAAACATGCAGCCCACACATGCACCATCTGGGTGTCTGTTATTTACCATAATTCAAATGAGAGGAAGACCTGAACAAGGATGCAAATGCAGCAAGAGCAAAAGGCATTGCAGAGGAGAGGGAAAGAAGAGTTCACAGACTCTGAGATGTTGAGTCAGGGTGGGTTTAAGAAAGTGCCATCATTGGAATTGTAGTTAAGTGGTTAGGAATGTTTTGGATGTGCAGAGATGTTGAATTCGATTTAAGTTATGTGAACTGAGGGCAGTACATAGAGATAAGTGCAAGCCCATGAGAGAGAGATTAACTTCAATAGAAATGTACTGTGAGCAAAAAAAACACAAGCCACACATAATGTAAAGTTTCCTAGTAGCTGCATTTTTAAAAGTCAAAAGTAACAAGTGACATTAATTTGAATAATATATTTTATTTAATTCAATCTATAGAAATATTATTCCATTATATAATCAATATAATCTAACATTGCAATGTGCTTTGGCCACATGTCAAGTACTCAATAGCTGTATAGGTCTAGAATGGTAAATGTACCAGTTACAAAGTCAGCTCTTTTCTTTTTTCTTTTTTTTTTTTTTTTTTTTGCTGAGATGGAGTTTTGCCCTTGCTGCCCAGGCTGGAGTGCAATGGTGAGATCTTGGCTCACTGCAACCTTGGCCTCCTGGATTTAAGCAATTCTCCTGCCTCAGCCTCCAGAGTAGCTGTGATTACAGGTGCCTGCCACCACACCCAGCTAATTTTGAATTTTTTTAGTAGAGATGGGGTTTCACCATGTTGACCAGGCTGGTCTCAAACTCCTGACCTCAGGTGATCCATCTGCCTTGGCCTCCCAAAGTGCTGGGATTACAGGTGTGGGCCACTGCACCCAGTCTAAAGTCAGCTCTTTTCTTTGCTTGTGAATGTGAACCCATGTTTAAGTTGTTCCTGCTTTTTTGCCATTATGAACAAAGCTCATATGAAACGGTCATATACACAACTCTTGGTGCAGGTATTCTGGACAGTATATTCCTAGGAGTAGTATCGCTGGGGGAAATAGCAAGTGAAATAGTGCCAATTTGTTTTCTAAGGTGGTTGTTCCAGTTTATACGCTCACTAGTAATGTGTAAAACAGTCCTCTCCCGCCAGGTGTGGTGGCTCATGCCTGTAATCCCAGCACTTTGGAAGGCGAAGGTGGGTGGATCACGAGGTTAGGAGATTGAGACTATCCTGGCCAACATGGTGAAACCCCATCTCTACTAAAAATACAAAAATTAGCTGGATGTGGTGGTGCACATCTGCAGTCCCAGCTATTCAGGAGGCTGAGGCAGAAGAATCACTTGAACCTGGAAGGCAGAGGTTGCAGTGACCTGAGAGCATCTCCAAAAAAAAAAAAAAAAAAAAGGAGAGAGAGAGAGTCCTCACCTTATTCCGCATCCTCAGGAAGAGTACAGTCACATTTCTTCATTTTGATTAATTGAGCCAGTATAAAATGGCTTTGTATTTTGTTGTAATTTAAATGTTTTCTGATGATTACTAAGTTTGAACATTTTTCATAACCATAAGAGCATTTTTCATTCAAATATGAATACATATTATATAACTCATGTACTGTCATTTAAGTGTTGTATATTTCTTCAAATATAAAAATTTGTTCTCTCACAAATACATATTATATAACTCATATACTGTCATTTATATGCTGTAAAATATGTTCTTTAAACTATAAAAATTTGTTGTCTCTAATACTTATTGAACATCTGCTACCTGCTACATATTGATCTAGGCACTTGTGGAAAAAATAGTCCCAAATTCCTGCCATTGTGGAGTTTACATTCTAGTGTATGTTGGAGGGGGTAAAGAAAAGTTAAATACTGTACATTATATGGTGTTAGTAAACTTGGGTTTAAGTCTGACTCACATATTTCACCTCATTAAATCTTGGGTTCTGCAATGTGAGAAGGAAGTGGCAATACTACCTATTGCATGTTGTTTATTAAATGCATATAAAGCACTCGGCACCTGATCTGGTAAAAAGTAAGGATTCTGAAAATGTCATCAATGGCAGTAATAATAATAATAACAACAATATTATTTTCCCCATTTCTTGCTTCTACTTTTTCTTTAGTAAGTTTTTTAGTTAGAGTGAATCCAGAAGTAGATATGGGAATGCAACTGTCTACTCTCTTGCCAAATATTAAAGAGATTGTACAAATGTAATGCAATACCACTCTTTGCACATTTTGGGGAGGCGGGGTGGGGGAAATTAGTTGTTTTTTATAAACAGACATTATCTAGGTTAACATGCAATATAATTATTATTGATATTTTAAAATTTGTTAAAATAAAAGGTTAAAGTAAAAAAAAAAAAAAAAAAAGAACTACCAAAAATTTAAGGTTAGCATATTTTGGTTGTTGTTGAAGTAAGTGTTGGCTCTCCTTTAGGTGAACTTGTGTTTTCTGCAATGAGCCATGACTTTGGCTTATTTTGAGATGTGTTATTTTCAAGCTTCTTAAATTCCAAGAACCAGGAGCCTGAAGACATGCATGTTTTAGAGAGCTACATTCATGTTGAATAGCCACAAGTGTGGGAAAATACCTAGGAATGTCATGTATAATTCAGGACTCTGATCTCTGAGTATATTGAATTAATCATTTCAATCCAACAACCAATTATTGAAAACCGACTATGTGCAAAGTACTGTGTGGAGGGGATGCATATGACATTAACTAATCTTTGAAACAATTATTTGTCCCCCTTTCTTAGATAATGATGTTAAAAATGATCTTCAATCAGACATCAGTTGAACACTGCAAGACACACACGGAGAAGCAGAAAGAATGCAACTTCTTCTTAATAGCTGTTCACCTGGCTTCACTGAACCAGATCTTAGATCCTTGGGTTTATCTGCTGTTAAGAAAGATCCTTCTTCAAAAGTTTTGCCAGGTAGCAAATGCTGTCTCCAGCTGCTCTAATGATAGACAGAAAGGGCAGCCTATCTCATTATCTAATGAAATAATACAGGCAGAATCATGAAAAACAAAAACACTTAACTTGCATGTGCACTTTTGGTAACAAATATCGCTAAACCTTACTGTGAATTTAGGCATCTCTGGCATGCCACTGTTTATGCATTGAGTGGAATTTTTAGTATAAAGCTAAATGGTCTTAGAAGCATGGAAAATCCCCTATGTGCCAAAAGTAGTGAAACACAAACAAGAGAAAATATATTAATAACAGTCTAGTGTTTTGGTTGAGTCTGCCATTTGTAGCTGAATATGTGATTAATTATGTGATGAAAACATTTTTTATAAATGATCTTGGTCTATTGGGGGGGCAGGGATGGTTGACATTCCAGTACACTGAATCCTTGCAGAATTTAACCACATATATTATTAAAGACAAGGGATAGTAGTGTGTTTTTCTTCAGAAATACTGCTGTGTTCTCTTTCATTGCCTCTTTTGCTTTTTTTCTGTCACTTTTTTCCTCCTTACAATAAAAAAAAGTTTAATTAGGGTTAAAAATATATAATATATTTATAATATTCATTGATTATGTTATTTTTAAATATTGCTCAATCTAGCAAATTAGCTCCTAACCTTACAAAGTTTTAGTTGGATTGATAATTAGGTTTACTCTTTGTGTGAGTAAGAGCCAATTCCATTTGTTTGAAATATGGAGTTTGTGACTACCCAACTTGCTGATTATCCTTCCTTTTGCCTATATTTTACTTTCCTATAAGCCTGAGGAAGATTCATGAAACTAACTATGAGAGTCATAAAGCAGTTCTTCAGAATGCTATGTAAGGACCAATTTGAGCACTAACTATAGGTGGTCTGAATATATATTTCCCTTGATTTTTTCACCAAAAGTGTTATCTAGTCTTTTGACTTTTTAAATTCCAATACTGATCCCAAAACAAATAAATATTTGAAGATTCAATGAATACTTTCCACAGTTTGGCCTATTTATATAATAAAATTAATAACATTGACCCCTCACAGCTCTTCTTCTGCCTGGTCCTCAAAGTGGCCCTATTCGAATATTTATTACTAAAATGTTTTTCCTACAGTCCACAAACCTCTATAGCTAAGCTTGACTTAGTTGTACACATGTAGATCACTACATTTAGTTTTGGGAATTGCACTTCTTAAAAAAGTCTCCCCACCAAACAGCACTCCTGTAAGTTAGGCCTACACAATGCTTGCCATATTCTTTGGTGCATTCATTTTGTAAATCTATTAACTTTTTATTGTGAAGATTTTCATTTGCAGTTCCTTGTACTGCTTTTCTAGCTTTTTAAAAGATTGAGATTTATTTATTCTTTTTGTAGTAACTGCATTTGTGTGTGTTTAGTGGTCATTTGGTAAATAATTAATTTCCATAGGTACAATATGTCTGTCTGATTAATGTATACACCAGCCTATGCCAATCAGTACTAATCATTTTAAATGACATGCTAAATTGAATTCGAAGACAAAATCTACTGAGGGTGCTTATATGATTCAGGATGGTTCTACTAATGTAAATTTTGGAAAAAGTGATAGTCTATACTAAAACCTCTCCTCCATGCCATAGAATTGGATTATCCCATCGGTCACCTCATGGATTATAACATAAAACTACCTAGTTTTTTCAAAATGCATTTAAATGTCATAATAAAGAGGCTTTACCTCTTGGGTGGTCCTGTGACCCCAAGTTCTAATCAGGCACTGTGAATTTGAGTGGCGTGAGCATGATTTCTTCTAGCACCTCGTATAACACCTGGAATATAGAAATTGTCCAATAAATATTCATTCAGTGAGCCAATGAGCAGAAGTTTGCCAAAACTGAGTGCACATTGGCAAGGCACATATCCTGTGATTAAAGTGCTTCATGCCATTACAGTCAATCAGGCTGATAAAGTGAATTATTTTCACTTATTTAATTACAGAATTTGAATTTATCTTCAAGGATGTAGTGTCATATTGCTGTACCACAAAGTGCTTTATTTATACTAATAATTTAGGAGACTGATACTTCCAAATGGTAATGGAGATTACTATCAAAAGAATATCACTTTTCATCAAACACAAAAAATACAGAAAGGCAAAAAGCCTGAAGCTTATTCTAACTGCAAAATAAATTCCTGCCCAGGGGTTATGTTTTAGAAAGGGATGAATGGCAGGTATTTTTGTTTGTTTTGTTTTATAATAAGCTTGAAAGGGAGGTGGAAAAGAGAGAAATTATGTAAACGACATGTGCATTTTGTTAGCTAGGCATTTGTTAGTCTGGGGAAACCTGATAAGTAATGAAAATCCCAAATGATTTCAGCCTTTTCATGGTTGTTGAGGTTCGGTTTCAGAGATGTACAGAGACTAGAGTAGTGGTTAGAAAGAGGACATATGTAGTCACAGCAGAAAGACGTGTCTAAGTTTAATTTATTGACCTTCAAGTTCACTCTTACATACATAAGTCTAATCAGAAAAAATGCATGTATAGATTATGACAATTCCTTGAACTTTGAAGTATTGGTTAAAAGACAATTAAAGGCCAAGAAAACCATGTGGGAAGAAGTAAGCAAATGGAATATATGTAAATATTTCTATATGGAATGTATGTAGAAATATATGTAAAATTAGCAAGTGTCAATTTTACAAAACAGTGCTGATTTTCCAAACAATGAATTTATATACTATGCTGAGTCATAGAAGAGAATGATCACACATTATTTAATGAGAAGTTTATTTTTCAAATAAAATAGATATAGTGAATGTCTTAAAAATATCTTGAAGTTGAAGAAACAAAATGAGTTATCTCAGTATTTACCAAATTAACCTAGTGCTCTATGTGTCCCAAGATATTGCAGGTAAATGTAAGTGTTTAATCATACCAGATTTAAACTAGTCTGAAATATTGAGTATACATATATTTCTACTTACACTTCTTTATTTTATAAAATATCTCTTTACTGTATTGCAGAAAATAATTGTGAAACCTTATGTAAGTTAACTATGGAAGATCCTGATTGAGTGACAGACAGACTAAAAATTAACAAACAGTATTTTAATAATGAGATAACTGTGGCAGTATTCACATTGCATTTTCTAGTAGATTAGGCTTTTTATTTATACAATGCTTTTTATAATTTGTTCTTTTTGACCCCAAATTAGTAATCAGCTTTCAACCTTCTCCACATCAACAATTATTTAATAGTTCTTTTGGTTGAGATCAACTCAGAAAAAGAAAATAGAAAACTTCCATTCTTTGAAATTTTATGCATACATAATATCTATTTCTTTTTGTAATTTAATCCCAAAAGCTCCTCCTGCAATATACCAGATTCTAGGAGGTGAATAACACAAGGAGACTACAGAGTATTTATTATTGCAAACAGAAAAGGCTTAATTTGAATAATTAAAATTTCTATTTTTTGTCTATATAACAAGTGTAAGCCATCAACAATGACAAATTTTCACAGCTGCTTATTTATTGCTTGTTTTATATGTATATATATCTCAAAATCTGTTAAAACTGAGGTCTAAAAACTACAGAATTGTGCAACTGTGGCTTAGTCCATAAGACTGTTCTCTGAGTTGCAATAAAATGCTGACACAGAGTGACAGATGTCTGTGATGTTCATGACATAGGTTATGATACAGCCAATTTACAAAATTCAATAATCCACTCAAACTCACATACATGTTTGTTAAGAAGCTGACATCAGTTCAGTATTATAAGGAAACTAACCAGGTGGTGATGACGATAGGAGAATTAGAGAAAATATTTTATTTGATATATTCTCTGTTTCATAATTCCTAAAATGAAGAGTCTATTTAAGGGTTATAATTTATACAAGTTTAGTCATATATCATTACATTATGATACCATAAGCAGACTGTATTATGATTCTTTAGAAATACAATTCAGGCCGGGCACGGTGGCTCACGCCTGTTATCCCAGCACTTTCGGAGGCCGAGGTGGGTGGATCACGAGGTCAAGAGATTGAGACCATCCTGGTCAACATGGTGAAACCCCATCTTTACTAAAAAATATGAAAAATTAGCTGGGCATGGTGGTGTGTGCCTGTAATCCCAGCTACTCGGGAGGCTGAGGCAGGAGAATTGCCTGAACCCAGGAGGCGGAGGTTGCAGTGAGCCAAGATGGTGCCACTGCACTCCAGCCTGGGTAACAAGAGTGAAACTCCATCTCAAAAAAAAATAAATTAATTAAAAAGTAAAAATAAATTAAAAAAAGAAATACAATTCAATCAGATATGTATCACATTCATTTATATGTCACACATTTTCTTTACTGAGAATAAACATTATCTTTTTTCAGAAACTTTGTATCAATTTGTTTCATGTAATAAGCAATGCAAATGTCTATCTCAAAAAAAAAATAAATTAATTAAAAAGTAAAAATAAATTAAAAAAAGAAATACAATTCAATCAGATATGTATCACATTCATTTATATGTCACACATTTTCTTACTGAGAATAAACATTATCTTTTTTTCAGAAACTTTGTATCAATTTGTTTCATGTAATAAGCAATGCAAATGTCTACTAGCTTACATATTTCTTCATTTGAAATTACACTATTTTCTCCTAGTCCCCTTGACTCTACTGTGCTTATCCATTCTTTCAATAGGAAGTAACAGCATATTTCCTATTGGTGAAGCTGGGATTGTTTCTAAGAGGATAATAACTTCATATTTTTAATACACCCTAATGGGTGAAACAGATTGGAATCTGTTATTTTTTGTAGTAAGTCTGCTTTATTGAAGAATTTATTATAGAAGTAAAGATAAGAAGGAAGGAGATCACCATCAGAAACAAATCAGCCTTTTCATGCTTTTTTGGGCATTTTGGAGATAATTCCACTTTTTCAAGTTATTGTCATTCATAACTTTTTAGTACTGAAGTACTGTTTCTTCAATACTATTTGTTAAATGCTTCAGAATTTTGAATATTTTGATCCTTTAATTAAAGTGAACCAAATGTCTAGGCAAAAACAGCCAATCACCAAACTTTAATAATAATTCAAATAGTTTTC